TTATTTTTAACAAAAAAACGAAGTCCAGATGACATGATTCAACCTTTTTTGTTGTTATATACCTGGATGACTGAGAAAACAAACTTTGTGTTTTTGAAACCATTAGTGAAAAGGCCAGACTTCAGGGGTATCTGAGGCAGGCTTGAAACACAAGAGTCAGGGTGGCTTCTGGGTAATACCAGATGGCTAGGCCTCAGACTGACGAAGCCTCTTGGATGAGGGGCGAAACGTTTATTTTTAACAAAAAAAACGAAGTCCAGATGACATGATTCAACCTTTTTTGTTGTTTCAGTTTACATTAATTTGGGGTTAAATAGAGACATATTTTTCCTCTCAAAGAGAGGTGGTGCCCACAGAACGAGGTTATTTGCATAATAAATGCATATCTTATGAGCTTAACTCATAAACTGATAATCAACAATATAAATCCAGCCCATATCCCCCAACATTGCTGTAAATTGTACCAAAAAGGAAAAATAAAAACTAGTTTGGACAGTTTTACTTTGATGCCATTATTAGTCATTTAGTGTATATAATGCTGATTTTTATAAAAGGTGCAAGTTTGTTTCAGATATTTAATAACTCCTCAGTAAGATGTGGCAACAAAAACACAAATGAATTGTGGGTAACAAACAAACACCAGCTGATGATGATGACTCACAGAAAAGCAACACTAAACAACTGATAAGCATTATACACTCTTTTTTTTAAAGACTGCCAAAGATTAGTTTTTGTAAAACCCCCCACCACACACACACACACATACACACACACACAAGCAGCAACCATTACAGTGTTTAGCTAACACTGAACAGCTGTCATCTGAATAAATCGTCTAGTAAAGTCGACCTAATGGCAGTCTTGGAATGAAGACTAAAGTCGTTTACTAACATTTATTGACTTTAAGAGTCAGTAAAGTAGTTGATGTGCAGTGCGGTTTGTCCCATTCGGGTTCCTGTAGCTGCTGTAGTTTTATATTCTGAACTATTTTGTCCTTCAGCTGCCTGGCTGGTCCTTGGCTCTTTCTGTCATACCTCCTTCTGAAGCCTCCGGAGCTCCTCACTCAGATTGTTGTTGACCTTCAGCAGCTGCTGCACCTTGGCTTCTGAGGAGGCCAGGGCCTTCTTCACCTCCAGGTACTCCTGCAGGGTGATGGGACCGTCCGACAAGTCCGACGAGTCCATGCTCTGATGTGGTCGGGATGAATGAAGGTGGACACGTGGGTAGAAAACAAATCATCAGCATCAGAGGGACTTGATCTAGTGTTTGTGAGTAAATCTATCACTGGATTAAAACGTGGGAGCATGTTCGTTGGCTCGTCTTGTGTGCAAATGATGCTTGCAGCTGGGAGAGGGAGCGCTACGTTACACTCAGTTAAACAGTAGAGCCTCAGTTCTGCCCTCAGTACACCCCCCCCCACTACCACCACCACTTCCTGTGACCCTGAAGCATGCTCAGATTCAGCCTCTACTACTCCCTGCAGCTAAACCAATAACAACACCTTAACACCACTATTCTGGGCTCTTTTACTCCTTCACCGTAGCATTTTGAACGACACAAAACCATTTAAAATATTCATGTGATCCTGTGAGTTATTCTAATTATTAACCACCCATCGTCTGTCCTTGTATCATTCTCTGACTCTTCTGCTCTAAAACTCTGGCTGGATGTTTGAACAATGCAAACGGGCCCAGAATAGATGATGATGTCAACCAGCAGCTATGTGCCAGACCCAGATGTGGCTGTTTCGCTCAAAGCATGTCGGGAGAGGCCACCATGTGAGCAGACAGCAGGAAAAACTGGTTCAAACTCTCTTCTAATAAACTCGGAGTGTAAACGGCTCGCTGGCTAACATTTATGAACAGCTCACTTGAATGCATGTGCAGCAGCTTGAACCAAAACGAGCATTTGGGCGCACATGTGACTTTGTAAAGCGCAATTACCTTTGCACGGTTGCTGCGCTGCGTATTGTTGTTGTTCTGGGTGGTCAGCTCGCTGTCCGTGTCTTCATCAGAAGCTACGGTGTCGTAGTCGTGCATGTCATCGTCAATGCCCAGGTCCAACGGCTCTGACAGAGGAAAAAAAATGTTACGTTGTTAATTACAGCTAAATCAAGGCTTGTTCACAGTTTCTGCCTCTCCTGAAGACGGTAACTGTTAATTTTATTGAGCTTAATTACAGAAATTGTTAAAACGAATAAACACCTGATCTGGTGCAGATTTTATAATACAAAATATGTCCATATATATATATATATATATATATATATATATATATATATATATATATACACACACACACATATATTATTATACACGTATTAACACGCATTTGTTAGGTGGTTACCTTACTGTTTGAAATGGATATATGTTTTTATCTTAGCCACAATGGAATGTAATTGTCTGTGTCTTAGTGTGTTTGTCTGTCTGTTAGCAAAACAGATCATCCTTGAGTAAACATTTTAATAAAATTCTCCTAAAGTAATCACCGGGTGCACTTTTATAGCCAATCAACTTTTGGAGTCAACTTGATTCAAGATGGCTGCCACAGCTAATCCACAAAAAATGAACTCATAAGCCTTCTCAAGAACTTTCTGAGCAGGAGGTGGGAGTCATTTCCAACATCAACAGATATCCTGTGTGGTGGAAATGTTGGTGAACGCAGTCTGTTTAAACTCTCATCACTGATGAAAACGTCTCACAGCATCATGAAGAGTGATGATGTCATCAGCAGCAGCTGTCAATCAAGTTGTAGAAGGAGAACGAGACACAGGTACAGTAAAAAATATTAAAGTATTGATTGGTTTGTTGCAGGACGTCACTTTCAGCTGATTGTGGTCAATAAACAGTTTGTACATTTGACCATCAGCTGATGTTCTGCAGCCTGAGCTGAAAACTGAAGGAAACGACATTCCTCAGGAAGTTTGTAAAGATGAACTCTGTTCTGCACGTGTTTCACATTCATCTACTTTTTATTATTTGTTGAACTTTCTCTACTTGGATAATGTTTGCTCTTCTTGTAATGTTCAGTTTTTCCTCTTTATAGTTCAGAACTGTGAGCCCAGCTGTTATTATTATTTATTAACCTTTATTTAACCAGGCAAATCCCACTGAGATTACAGAGCTCTTTTGCAAGGGATGGATGCCTGAAGTCAGCCTAACATGCACGTTTTTGTTGGTTCTGTTGCTTCAGACGTGTCAAACTGAAGGCCCACAGGCCAAATCTGGCCCTTGTCAACATTTAGTTGCACCCTACGAAAAATGTTTTAAATCTAGCTCTCAGATTGAATTACCATAATTGCCAGTTTATAGAACACACCTGACTATAAGCCGTGCATACTAAATTGAAAATAAAACTATTCTTTTAACATAAAAAAAATGTGCTGGTGTGTAAGCCATGGGTTTCCACATTTTAATATCTGCTATTTTATATATATATATATATATATATATTATTATATGCTGCTTATTTCTGTATTCTGTGCTGTGGGGGTGTGTGCATGTGCACACTGGGATGGAAGAGGATTTCACAGCGCCGTTATTAGGAAGTAGTTGGAGTTTATTAGGTATACAATTAGTTATATAAGTTTATCAATCTTCTGTTTTTTCTTGGTGAGGCCCTTTACATTTGTATTCGACTCAACAAATTCATTGTTCTATAAATGTTTTATAACATTTTATCTGGTATAGTTCATTTTGTTTATAGAGTAGTGACTTGTTACTCAGGTTGATGAAGGAAACTTTTGTTTAAAATAAAATTTGCTTTGCTAACGCTAACCGCTAAACAGACTTTAAAAATTTGCAAAAGCTAACACTAAAGCGCTAACGTTGATCAAACTGCTGTCCCTGACACTGTAAGACTGTCTGTAATGTGACAACGTAAGTGAACACAACTCAAAACAGTTCATAAATCACAAGTAAAGCATCCCAGAGTCAGAGTCAGAGAGATTTATGTCACACACCACATGTGGTACATGTGGTGGAATGAGATCATGTACAAAGGGTCCCAGTTACATCCCACAATAAAATGTAAAATTAAAACCGCAATAAAATCTAAGATATGAGCTAAGAAAAACATTAACTAAATATATACTAAGCACTGGTGAGGTGAGCTTCCAGCAATTAATCTGGTCCATCAGAACCAAGGAGATGGAGCAGAACTCTGCTGTGCTGAAGGAAAGTGATGCATTCAATGTATGTCAGACGTCTCCCTCGTAACATTTACGATCATAAATTAACTCACTTTGGTGATCCTCTTTGTTGTTAACTACTTTTATAAATTTACTACAAAGTTGCTGTATGTCGTCATCATCAATATTATCTCAGTAATAAATCTGTTTGTATTAATGTGTGAAGAAAAGTGTGAGTCGCGTCCCAGAGACAGTGAGAGCATTGCAAAGCATGCTGGGTAGGAATTATGTTTACAATGTTTTTGAGTGTGAAAATTATTGTTTTTAAGTTATTTTCCTGTTCTGGTTTGGCATTTATGTTAAAGTCTCTGACTGTAAACTGACACCAGGAGTCAGAGACTGTTTGAGGTAGATATGAGGAGGACAAAAGTGCTGTGAGGATGGTGACATCACCAGGTGGCGCTTACCTTTCCTTAGTTTTACATTGCATAGCATCACTCTGTGCAAATTATTCTCCTGTACGCTTTCAGTGTTCAGAACAGTCTTAAAAAAATGAGCGGACTTGAATTTGTTGAACTTCACTTTAGCAGAAGCTAATTCTGCTAAAGGTTTTCAAAGATAGTGAAAAAGCTAATCTGTTAACTGGAAAGTTAGTTCTGCTATTAGCAGAGTAGTGGAGCCGTGCCCGCCACTGGAAATATGGGTGATGCCGTTTTCAAGTATGATCTCTGATAAAGTTCAGAATATACTGATTTCAAGTTGTTGTATTAATCCTGAGTTTAGTAAAATGCTCATCAAATGGATGGAAAATGCATAGTTTTGTGTAGATTTTTTAGATAGTAAATTTTTTTTATTGGGGGGGGGGACACTTGTGTAGGCAGTAAAATCACTGCCCGCCACCTGTTCCTGAGAAGGCAGCATATCTAACACATACTTCAAGCACCAACAGAAAAGGTGAAATTTCTGTTTAAAACTTGGATCTCCAAAGGAAAAGAAATGGCTTTTTTTTTTTTAGAAGAAATGACAGATTAAAAAAAATTAAAAAGTCTAGTCAAGTCACTCTGCAGGTCTTGGTGCTCAGAACTGATTTTTTGTGCAATCGTTCACATTCTCATTAAAACGTGACCTCCATCTTTTTAAACCGTTACAGTTCTGAGGAAGAAAACATGACGTCACATGCAGCACGCTGACTTTAAGGAGGTAAATATAGATACTACACGTTAGCATGTGTGATTTTTAAGTTGTTGTGAAATCAGAAACAGAAGAACTATCATCATGCCTGATCGTTTGGTCCAGTGTTTAGATTTAATTTGGCATCTTGGCGTCTCCTCCAGCTCAGCAATGAATGTTTGGAATGAAAGTAACAAACTGAAGGTAAAAACCAACACAAGGATCAGTCCAATCACATTAGTAGAGCTGATAAATCCAGTTCACTTTATGGAGTCGGGCTAATCTGAATCACTTACTATAGCAACATGATTCACTTGAGTCATTCACGCTGCGCAACCCTGCATCACCATTAAAACAAACTGTGTTAAGTCTTTACACGACTCACTTCAGTCCACAGCATTTCTGGTTGTTCATTCAAGCTTTCTTTATACAGGTTAGTCTCATTGAGCCTCAAGGACTCATTTACAAGAGAGACCTGAATAAATATTCAACTCGGAGCAGTGACCCGACTCGTCTAAATCAACAGCACATCTGATCAGTTATCTACTGTACCCAGTGCAGCAAGCCGACTCGTTTGTGTCTGCAGCATTTCCTGTGATTCTGCTGGAGTTATCTCTTTTTTGTGTGTTTGCTATATCGCAGACTTGTATCTAGGCCTGTCACAATAACCAAATCAATTAATCACATGATAAATGAAAATTATCAACCTCATTTCATTTATCGGCTTTATTGTTTCTTTGTGTCTCTTTCTAATGAAGACACTGGATGACAAAAGGCTCAACTCCGATGCTCTTCACTGACCCCTCCCTTTCTCTTTAAAATCCATTTTAACGATCCAAAGCTAACAGGCCGACCTTGGTGAAAAACGTCCATCTTGTCAAGTAGTTTCAAAATTCACGATTGAAACCCGTGCCTTTGAGTAAAAAGTTGTTTTTCTCTACAAAAAGCAGCTGAGAACTTGTTTACTGATTTTTTATTAAAAGCTTTATATGAAAAATGCTATGCTAAAGAGCTCAAACCACACCAAGCAGCTGCCATTTTGAGAACCGAAAAACAGGAAGGAGAGACAGCCCATGTCACGTCAAGTGGCCTCCCTACCATTTTTCTTAAAGAGACATGCTGCCCGCTCCCTCACTAAAGCAACTGGCCCAGACAACATCCCTGGAAAAGTGTTGAAGGAATGTGCTGATCAGCTCTGTGAGGTGCTGGC